ACGCCCTTTGGATGAGAGCCTCTGGTGCATGATCCTCACCATGGCTGGAACCTAGAAGAGCCATGGGGAAGACTGGGAGGCGTGCCCGAGGGAGCAACTTCCCCAGCTTCCCCCAACAAGTGCTTCCTTTCCCACCACACTCTGCTTGGCCTCAAAGGCTGAGAGRGCCCAGCGGACGTGGCTTGAGAGGCCACATGACCCTGAGAGACCTCCACTTCTGGGTACTGGATGCTTATTGCTTCTGATAAGAAACACCATTATGCATGAATAACAAATTATGAGCATAAATGACAGTTAAAGTGGGGGTAGTGTCAGTGTTTCTTATGCCCTCAGTCATTCAGGTGTCCGAATTGGGCTCAGTTGTTACCTCGTCAGCTTTCACTACATAATTAGTCATTTCTGCGCACTCAATTGATGCTGTGCTGGGATCAGTCAGCTTGGAGTCAGGTCTGCCTGTGGACTGACTAGCAGCGGTGTTGCGCTTTTTAAACAAAGATCTTATGAACTTTGGGATACTCTGCAAAAGAGCAGGGAAGAGAGGGATATTTCATGGAGTGTTCCACGTGTGGTGCTGGGCTGAGCAGTGACAGCAGGCCCAGCCCCAGTGGGGATGGCTCAGAGTACCTGTGCTGCTCTGCGGAAGCGGCTCTCCTGTTGTGGCTCTGCAACCGRCAAAGAGAGAGCACAGCCAGAGCTGAGGGGCTGCGGGAGAGGCCGGAGAACACAGCCCAGCCCTGCGCTCCCCTGGCAGGGACAGCCCAGGGATGCCCAGGGGATGGAGCACAGAGGGGCAGCCCCAGCCCCTCTTCCAYCTTATCCATGGCCATGCCCATGGTATGTGGGATGGGGTGGGGCCAAGATGGCTGCAGCCATCAGCTCTGCCACTCACCATCCTGCCATGGCTTGAATTCATCCTGCTCTTCAGGATCAGCTGGGGCAGCTGCAGGTCCTTTGTCCTTGCTCACCTTCGACAGGCCTAGATCTTTGTCTGCCATGCCACCTCACAGTATGGCCTCGAGGGCACCTGTAAGAGAGAAGCCTTGGAAAAGCACTGAGTTGACAAGTCCCACGTTGTATCCCTGAGGCCACCGGCCGCAGGGATAGCAGATGCCTCGGAAAAGCTCCGAGTCACCGGGTCCCGCGGTCTGGCCTCAAGGACACCTGCAAAAGAGAAGCCTCGAGGAGGCCACAGGTCACCAAGCCCTGCGGTCTGGCCTCGAGGTCACCTGCAGGTGTAGCGCCTCGGAAAAGCTCTGGGTCAGGAAGGAACGAGCGCACTGTGCAGAGAAATCCTCACAGCACCACTCTTTCACGTCCTCTCCCGTCGCGTGCTCCGAGCACTGTGGCGTGGCCACGCCACCGCTGGCACCTATGTCACGACGTGTCACAAAGGGCCCTTGGACACTCTGTA